AACGACCCTAAATGTTAGATGAAGTATTCAGGCAAGTGTAGAGTATTTATTTTTAGAAAAGCATTTTTATTTTTATTTATTTATTTATTTATTTATTTATTTATTTAAAATGATTTATTTATTTATACAAGCACTGGGTACAGTCAGAAGCGCGGGAGGGTGAGAGAATTCACCAGAGCCAGAGAGGGGAGCAGAGCAGGCAGAAGGACCGAAGTACACTGCTGAGGGAAGCAGCGGGCGGCAGGAGTGGTCTGCGCGCCATGTGGGACCCTCCTCCGGTGGCAGGGGAGCAGCAGGGGATGGAACTGGCGCCACAGAGGCCGCAGGCAGCTTTGCAACCCAGTGCTCAACCGCTGCACCACCGGGGAGGCCCAGAAAAGCATTTTTAAAAGGTAAAAAATAACTTGCGAAGGCATAGTTTGTCCTGAGTTATATTTAGTGCTTTAACAGGAAAATGATTCAAGTTAAAAGTACAATTAGATCTCCACTGGAAAGGTAGATGAAAAACCCCCTTAAGGCTAATTTGTAATGTTTGACTCCAGGAAAAACAACTAGTCTTAAAAAATACTGTGAACAAGTTTTCCAGGCAGGTGACTCTTACTTAGGTCTAAAAACTTAACAATAAGGTCATTAGAAACACACTGTGTGAGTGAGGAGGCATATAAATGAATGCATTTAAATCATTTCCCTTTATGGAAACCACTTTCTAATTTTCTTCTAAGAATCACATGATGTTTAAAACTAGAAAACCCCTTAAAATAAAAGAAAAGAAATTCCTACTTGAGAATAATGTTTATTCCAATCCCTAGCCAGTATGCCTTTAGCCATTTACCTGCGGGTATGAACAGTAACTGATTAAGAGAACTAGTTAAACACTAACAAAACACAAGGGAAAGGGATAAGAAGAAACCTCTTGCACAGACCCTGCTGTGTGAGGGCTCACATATTCTCAGTAGCCTCAAGGAAAACCAAGTCCCTCAAAGAAATGGGGCAGGGCTAATGGTATGCATGACAAGATTTGAAAATAGTCCCACTTTTAAAGATGTATTTCAGTACATGAAATATGTAGGGGGTCTACTGTATTTTTGCAAGGCCAGAGCCACATCAACAAAAAAATTAACACCCTATCTAGCACACATCAGCGGTACTCCTGTGGTCATCTGAATTTTACCTTTAAAATGCATTCAAGGGCCTCCCTGGTGGCGCAAGGGGTTAAGACACAACCTGTGAAGCTATCTGCAGCCACTGCAGCATGAGTTCGATGCCTGGCCAGAGAGCTACCCACATGGCACAGTAGACCTCTCCTGTCTCGCCTGCTGCTCCCCTCAGCAATGTATTTCAGTGAATCTGCCTGTTCTATTCCCTACTCTGTCTCTGGTGAATCCTCTCAATCCCCACACCTCTGGCCTGTACCCCTGTTCTAGTATGCATAAATAAATAAATCTTTAAAAAATGCATTCAATAGCAAATACTAAGAACTATTTATTATGTGTTCCTCCTCACCTCCATACCTGTACCCCCTTCCTTTCTTGCATTGATTGGTTGCATTGACATCCATTTTGGATTTCCCAAAAAGTCAGTGACACTCACATTTCATTCGCCTCTGTTTGAGACTACATTCCAGTTGAAGGCCTAATAGTTATTCAACATTTTTAGGACTTTTTTATTGTCTAACTTGATTTTGCTTCTAATTTTCTTTCCCACTTACCTAACCCCAGTGACTGAAAAGCAAATATTGAATTGCATCAAAGGCCCATGTTATGTTTTAATATACTATCTTACTTTGGCACGGGGACATTTATTCCGGTTGACTACACCTGGGGCATTTATTCTATTGCTACACATCTGTACGGTCATACTGATTATTAAATACTGAAATATCTCCCTACCCTAGGTAAACAACCACTATTTCCTAAGGACTCTCCTCTTCCCACCAACTGTCCCCCAGAATCTCCTGAATATTCCCACGATGCAGCAGCTGGAAGGCCATGACACTGCCTGGCACTAACATCCAATGTCACTGTCAGAATTTTAGCTGTTCTGAGTGTCACCTCTCTATTCATGTCAATTAGGGTCTGTTTTGGTTCCTCTTCACAGCAGGTTAAAACTTGAAGCTGTCTAAATGGAAGGACACCGAGGAAGCTATCCCAACTCTGCTGACAGCAGGACAATGTAAGAGATGGAGGTTCACAGAACTATAAAAACCACAGGAAATCTGGGCCTCCCCTGGTGGCGCAGTGGTTGAGCGCTGGGCTGCAAAGCTGCCTGCAGCCTCTGCAGTGCCAGTTCGATCCCTGGCCACTGGCAAGGGTTCCACATGGCACAACAGACCTCTCCTGCCACGCCCGCTGCTCCCCTCAGCAGTGTATTTCGTCAGTCTGCCTGTTCTGTTCCCCACTCTGGCTCTGGTGAATTCTGTCACCCTCCAGTGCTTGTATAAATAAAATAAATAAATCTTTAAAAAAAACCAGCAAATCTATTATATATACCATCAAAATGAAGTTTAGAATTATGGGAAGTATACAGGAAGATGCGGTATGGCAGAAAGGCACAGGAAAAAGGCTTTAGAGACAAGCATTAATCTAGATCCTAACACCACCTTCCAACACCTTATTTCCCACTGGATACAGTTCTGTCTCCACTGGGGTATACACATCTGTTTGGGGTGTACCTTTTATGTGTCCTACTCCCAGCATCTGCTCTAACTTGGAAGTTCCCTGACCCAACCCACTTTCATTAGCAGTGGGGCAGGATGCTAACTGCCAGTTACCCAACTTAGGAAATATAGCATGAGGATTCTGACTTGGTATCTGCAAGCTCCCACTTGGACCAGCATGCCCCCAAATCCATGTCAAACCAGAAGTAAAGGAGCCAGATTTGGCAAAGATGCTGAGAGTGTTGCCCATATAAAGAACTGCCCTCTGCTCCATTACTTGTTCTTTATTCTTTTCTTCACAAATTTACACATTTATGGGATTGACAAGAAGACTGGAAAATGTAGTGGGTAAGGAGGCACTGCCCTGAGTGCACATTATATTCCACAGTGTTGGGAAACCATTTTGGCTAGCAAGAACCTGAGTTAATAACTTGTAATTATTGTTTTAGAAACAGCCATCCTCCCATTCTTCTGCACTAACCCTGTATTGCTGTATTGGTTTCTCTCTATTAATCTCCAAAAGGAAGGTAGGGAAAAGAAATTAGCAATTATTATTTTTTTTTTTTGGAGGGAAGTATCTTCAAGAGAGGAATTAGTAATTGGAGAGTATTCTTGGATTCATGGGTGCAGTACGATGTCATGGACAGAAAAATTAGTTATAAAATATATGTGTGTATATATATATGGATTGCTCTCAAGGAAGCACCTGTACCTGTGCACACCAATATATGTATGTTATTCAGTGTACCACTATTAATAGTAGTAAAAACCCGGAAACAATGGAAAACCAGAGAGGAACAGCACAAAGAAAGAATCAGACTGATGTGTACTGCAATTTAAAAATCTCCCAAACTCAGGCCTCCTGGTGGCTCAGGGGTCAAAGCCTCAGCACTATCAAGCTATCACCAGCCACTGCAGCCTGAGTTCGATTCCCTAGCCAGGAAGCTATCCCACATAGTCTCTCCTGTTTCTCCTGTCTCCCCTCAGCAGTGTATTGTGGTAATTCTGCCTGTTCTGCTCCCCACTCTGTCTCTGGTGAATACTCTCACCCCCCTCCCACCTCTGGCCTACAGCCCAGTTCTTATATGCATAAATAAAAAATAAATATTAAAAAAAATAAAAATGTCCCAGACAAATAATGGGGTAAAAAGTGAGTCACAAAATACTGAGAATATTTTTTAAGTGTGTGTCTATATTATCTAAATGGAAACAAAATTGAAAGGGTCGTATTGAATAGGTTTTAGGAGTTATCTCTGGAATGGGAAAGTAGAAGGGGACACTAATACATTTGATATACATGTGCATTGTTTGTATCTCTCTAACAATGAGGTGTTACACAGGTTACACTGCAATGGGCAAACCTCAGGAGGCAGAGACTGGGGGTATTTAGAAACAAAGCAGGCAACAGTTCTGGAGAACACCGGCAGGAGAGCAAGAGAGGAAGGTGGCTTATTAATGAAAGTCAGTAGGAATAAAGTTGTTGTGATCAGCCTGTTGTCCAGCAGTGAGAAGATCTGGTTTCTCATCCTAGCTCCACAACTCACTAGTCCTGTCACCTTGGGCAATGCCTAAATCTCTGTGGGTTTCAGGTTCCCCATCTGTAAAATGAGGAGGTATTAGAACGTATGCTTTTGTAGGTCCCTTCCAATTCTCACGCTTTATCATTTTAGCAATGATTTTTGTTTTGGCTACTCATATATTGTACTGAATGATTTTCAAGAAGACCTTAATTTTGAGGAATTCCAAATGGCATTTTGAGTGCATAGTTATATGAGATCATAAAATGGTACTAAGAATCCTCAGAAAAGTTAAGCACTCAGCTCATCAGGATTATAGGACAAGCTGTGACCCAATGCTTAGCATCTGGTTTACCAGATCTGTAACAAAACGGCTATCGTATATCTGGGGTACCTGCTGGCTGGAGACTTCAGAAACATGCAGTGCACATTCCTGAAGCATAACAACATCCCTCTCCTCTATCCTGTGCCATAAATCAGAACAAGATGGCATTAAAAATAATCCACTCCGGATTTACAGAACCATGAAAGGGCCAGTGAAATATTTTTTTCCTTCAAGGGACCAAACTGACTTCACTAATTGAGAAATACATGGGGGGCATCCAGATTCAGCTCTGGCAAGCTAAAAAGCTTAGAAGATATCCTTCCCATCCTTACACGAGGAAAAAGCCAGACAAAGTGAAAAGTAACTTTTCTTGAACCCAGCAGAGAATTGAGGTTGCAATGGAAATTGCAGCCCCCAAATCTGAAGAGAAAAGCTTATTCAAAGAGACACAGCTTACCTGGAGTAGAAACCACCAGAACCATAAACTGGTAGGGACACTTACATGGCAACTTTGATGACTCGCTGAAGACTGAGTGAGGAGCTGGGCTTTCTATCAAGGAATCTTACCAAGTTCTCATGGTGAAGGTACTTGAAAGGTCCCCTCCATGCTGTGAGGAGGGGCTGGGAAAAGTAATCCTGTGCTGTAACTCAGAGCTTTCTCTAACAAAGGCCTATGCTCCAGGGGAAAATACTTTGCTGTGAGCTTAATCACAAGTGGGGGAAGGGTATTCCTCCCACTCCAAACCCACCCTCCCAGTCCTTTTGTTTCACCTAAGGGGGAAAAAAGTATTGTGAACCAGGTCCTGGGCTTCCAGGAAATAGACTGAGAAAATTCAGGTTAGGGACAGGGGGAGGGGGCAGGGAAAACAAAAAGCTATCTAACTTGAGAAGATCACAGGCACAAGACCCAGGCCCAGCAGACACGAGACTTAATCAGAAGATTTAAAAATGATCTGCTGCCCCATTCCTTACCATCATGGGGCCCCAGTATAGTGACAGGGAATAACAGCTGAAAAATTACAAGACATAAAAATCTCTCTCAAGAAGTTGTACTTAGGGAAACTCAAAACTGAGATGGGGCAAAAACAAAGACACTTCAGGAATTTAACCCTCTGGCACTGATAGTTACACCAACCATTAAACACAGCTGCAACTCCCAGCCAGCTTATCATAAATCCTAGCACAAAGGATTAAACTAGAAACCAATAACAGAAAAATAGATGGAGAGTGCCCAAATACTTATAAATTAAATAATAAACTTCCAAATAACCCATGGATCAAAGAACACTCAAGAAAAATTTTAAAATGTTTCACTTGTGGGGTGAAAAAACATAATGCATAAAGGTCTAGCATTAAATGTACATATTAAAAAAGAAACAAGATCTAAAATCAAAAGATCTGAGCCTCACCAAAGAAGATATATCACTGGCAAATAACAAATGAAAAGATGTTCAACATCATTTCCTCTAGAGAAATGCAAATTAAAACAATGAAACTAAAACACTGACAATAGTAATTGCTCATGGGCCTCCCTGGTGGCGCAGCAGTTGAGCGCTGGGCTGCGAAGCTGCCCGCAGCCTCTGCAGTGCTGGTTCGATCCCTGGCCGCCGGGCGAAGGTCCCACATGGCGCGCAGACCTCTCCTACCGCCTGCTGCTCCCCTCAGCAGTGTACTTCGTCAGTCTGCCTGTTCTGCTTCCCGCTCTTGCGCTGGTGAATTCTCTCACCCTCCCGCGCTTCTGACTGTACCCAGTGCTTGTACAAATAAATAAATTAATCTTTAAAAAGAAATAGTAATTGCTCACAAGGATGCAGAATAACAACTCTCATTCATTGCTGGTGGGAATGCAAAATGGTGCAGGCACTTTGGAAGATAGTTGAGCAGTTTCTTCCAAAGCTAGACAAAGTCTTACCAGATAATCTAGCAGTAATACATCCCTGTATTCACCCAACTGATTTGAAAACTTATTTTCACATGAAAACCTGCACACAGATTTTTGGGGCAACTTTAGCCATAACTGCTAAAAGTTGGAAGAAACCAAGAGTCCTTCAGTAAGTAAATGGCAAGCTAAGGTACACCCAGACAATGGAATACTTTCAGCAATGAAAAGGAATTGTTAGGGGGAAAGGATGTCCTGAGATAATCTCATACAGGCTTTGTGGACTCCACCCCCACTCCAGACTAAAGCCATCAGGACATTGGGAAAGACAAATCCCATCACCACCAAGGGGAGGGTGGCTGGGACCTGAGGGTGGAGTTGGGCAGCCAGGTTGGATATAAAAACCAAACACGTGGGCCTTGCTCGCTCTCTGGCTCGCGATCGCTCGCCTCCTGGCTTCACCGCTCCTGGCTGGCGGCCAGCTCTCAGAGCGCCATTTTGGGATTCCTGATCGGCGGATCGGGTAGGACTCATTTAAAACTTTGTCTCCCACTTTTCTCCCAGAGCTGTACATTTCCTCATTTCCCTTTCCCTTGTAAATAAACCTTTTATTAACCTTTCACGTGTGCCTGCAGTAGAGCATTGATAAGTCCTTTTAAGCGCGCGGGTGAGGACCCACAGTCAGGCACCCCGTTTTGTATCGGGGCTGCTCTACAACAGAATGAGCTATCAATCCAGGCAAAGATATAAATTAATCTTAGAAGAGGCTCTATACTGGATGTGTCCATTTATATGACATTCTGGAAATGCACATTTATGGAGCCAAAAAACAGTTAGGCGGTCACCAGGGATTCAGAAGGGAGGTGGCTGAACAGGCAAAACACTGGATTGTTATTGCAGTGAGACAATTTTGCACAATACTGTAATAGCTGACACATGTCGTTCTGCATTTGTCAAAGCCACAGAACTTTATAGCACTAAGAGTGAACAATAAATGTGCAAGACTTTTTTTTTTTTTAAATTCCAGGATGGAATGCAGAATGTGACAAAATAATCAAACTATATTACAAATTTGTGAACTAGCCTCACTGAGGGGAGTAAAGAAAAAGGTTCAGGCCCCATGTAACTAGAAATGAGTGGAAGCTGGAAGACTAAAGGCAAAAGGAATTGTGTGTGAGCCCTGCACTTTAGTCGAGAGGGTAGTTTCCCATGGAGGGCAGGGGTTGACAACTTGAAATCATACCTGCACACAGAAAGTGAGTGAAGTAATGGATAGTGAAAGGTGGGAACTGAGTTTCTTATCACCGAAGGTGAAAAGTTACAGACAAGCAAGGGAAGAAAGTTAGAATGATCCACATGGTAATGGATGATAGCTCGAGCCATCAGCATGATCTCATACTTAGCTTAATGCAGACAGAGCTGGTTCTATAGAGACAACCATTTCTAGAAATGTGTATATACATGGTCATCATACACACATGCATTTCCTTACTGAGAGTCTGGTGGACCTAGAAACAACATCACCTCAGTAAAAAGGAGCACAGCTACTGACCAAATCTTGTTTGTTAATACCATTCACCACTTAAAGTAGCTGGGTTCCTTGGGGAAATGGCAGATTCCAGGATGGGCAGGAAACCTGTAACAAGGCCTGGGCTACACTGCAGTGCCAGAAAGTAAGGATGTCCTCAGGGAAACCCGAAATGAGAGGGGTGCTTCAAAGGGAAACTGAAAGAGTAGCTGAAAGAGTTCCAAATGGCCAAAGCGGGACAGATTTGAATAAAATAAACTAGTAATGGATTGTAACCCAAAGTATAAAACAAATGAATCCCTACTGACATAAATAAGTGATTTTATAAATAAATGGGAGACAACAGACAAATCTCCCACGCAGAAAAACTCCAAATAGTTTCTGCAGATACCTGGCCCTCAAGGAGGTGGAACCTAACTCCCTTGTTCTTGTGTGAGCCACTAGGTGACTTCCTTCTAAAGGAGTACATTCTGGAAAAGATGGGGAAAAAAGAGTAACTTCACAGTGGGGAAAGTGGAAAGCACTCCTTTAGCTGGATGATCAAGGTTAACATTAGCAGTGAGGTCTATCCTTGCTATAAGAATGATGCTTGACCTCCAGACTTCCTCCCCCAAATCCATAAGCTCATTCTAACCATGAGAAAAACACGAGACAAATTCCAATTGAGGCACAGTCTATAAAATACATGGTTAGTACTCAAAACTGTCAAGGTCATCAAAAACAAATAAAGTCTAGAAAACTACTACAGCCGTGAGGAGTCAGAGGAGAATGGTAACTAAAAGTGATGTGGTGCCCTGGATGGCTCATTAATTTAACACTAAGTAAATCTGAATAAAGTGTGTCCTTTAGATAAGACAAAATGGAAATAAATAAATGAGGGAAAGATTAGAGGACATAAATTCTAAAATCTGACTAGGCATTTCCCTATGAAGGAAGGAACCTTAAAGGCAGCCTTCAAAGTGTAGACATCATGATAGGTCTCACTTTCAAGGTTCAGCATATAAAACTGGTGTGGTTTATGGCCACACAGAAAGTTTAAGGTGGGGGCTTCCTTTTCCAAGCTCAAAAAGCAGGAGTAATGACTGCCATCCCACCAGGCTGTGTTTAGGGAAGTGTCTGTTACATAAGAGGGTGATGTATCCCAAATGACTTTCCTTGTCCTCCCTGCACCATCCACACAATCGTTGCAGTCAGACTGTTTGGGGGAAGCGTAACTGAAGTATGATGGTAGTTTTCTCCATGAGCTGTAGGTGGATTTCCGTGTCTCTCTACACAAATACTATGACCTTCTTTTTCTTTTTCTTTTTTTTTTTTTTTTTTTTTTTTTTTTTTTTTTTTTACAGTGGGCAGTGCAAACAGAACTGTTTCCCGGCTTACTTGGTGATTTCATGCACTGCCGTGGTTTTCATTTTTTCTTCCCTGGACATTGTGCTGAGGCTTGCAGGGGTTGTCTGGACATGTTTTCACACGGAAGGGGGACACAGCCCACTCTCCTGCAAGCCTGGGCTTCGAATTAATTTGTGAAACCCTTCTAGTTTATTCCCCAAATTGAACTGGTCCTACTGAATCTCACCCTGAAATGTCTCCAGAACTTATCATCCCTTCCTCTCCATTCCTGTTGTCTTAATTCAGGCTTTTTGACTTTTTGTTTAGATTGAAAAATATAGCTGTTTAACTGGTCTTCAAGTTGCCGACCTACTCTTCACTGGAATTCATTCTTCACACTCATGAATTCTCTAAAAAACAAATCAGATCATCTCATTCCTCTATTTGGAAGTCATTTGGTGATTCCTTGGTTACAAGATAAGAGCAAGAGGCTTAGACAATCTGGACCCCACCCTACACTTCCAACTAGCTCTCTAGCCCTAGCCCTTGCTGTCCTCTCTTGTTCCAACTGCCACCTCCTACCCCACCCCCAGGAGCCTCTGACCTGGGACACCACAAACAGACCCTGCTTCTTCAATATAAAAGGCTGTGTCATCCTGCTGTGCCTATACTTGGGTTGGGTGCTCTGTCTGTCAGGACTGTCTACTCACTCTACAACTAAACAGTAGTAAGTAACAAGGCAGTCTAGGTAGAAAGACAAGGAGCTGAGGGGGAAAAGGGAATGAAAGAGCATTACTAAAGCAGCACTGTGCTGGATTCATATCTAGGTGCTCCATAAAGAAAGAAAAGAATGAAAGAATGAATGAGTGAGTGAATGAATGGCTGAGCATATGGCCTAGGCTGCAGACAGGCAAGTTACAACAGATGGCCTGTGAA